GCACTCCAGTCCGGGCCACCGAGTGAGACTCCAACTCAAAAAAAAAAAAAGGAATGTCAAAGAGGATTGAAACATAACACCTCATCAACAAGGGGACCTGAGTTGAACCTCACATCTTTAAAATAGTTTTAAAAAAGAAACATATCAAAATATCCAACATATAGCAAGAAAAATTTGCTGCCAAATTATCTTCATGTGGGGTAATTAATTAAGTCTCAAAGATGGGGAAAAATACAGCTTTAAACCTGAATACTGGAGGAAGAAAAGGTTTGATTTGGCTTTACTGCTTTATTTATTTAAATTACTATTGTTATTTTTTATTTTCAAACAGAACATCTTGCTTCAAATGCTGCTTTTATTTTTATTTTTTATTTTATTTATTTATTTATTTTAGTTGGAGCCTCACTCTGTCACCCAGGCTGGAGTGGCAGTGGCATGTTGATGGCCACTGCAGCCTCGACCTGCTGGGCTCCGGCGATCCTTCCGCCTCAGCCTTCCAAGTAGCTGGAATTATAGGCATGTGCCACCACGCCCGGCTAATTTTTTAATTTATTGTAGAGATGAGGTCTCACCAAGTTGTCCAGGCGGGTCTCGAACTCGTGGGCTCTGATAATCCTCTCACCTCTGCCTCCCAAAGTGCTGGGATTACAGGTGTGAGCCATCACACCCGGCTGAATGCTGCTTTTTTTTTTTGAGTTGGAGTCTCACTCTGTGGCCCAGGCTGGAGTGCAGTGGCATGCCCCCTGCCACCGCAGCCTCGACCTGCTGGGCTCCGATGATCCTTCTGCCTCAGCCTTCCAAGTAGCTGGAACTACAGATGCTGGAACTACAGGCTGAGTCACCGAGCCCGGCTGAATCCTGCTTTTAAAGATGAGAATTGCTTTTAATTTTGACAGTTTTGAATAATGTATTGAGGCTAAGAGCTGGGCTTTGAAGTCCTTTGGATTGGAGTTTCAGTTCTGACTTTGCTACTTACTAATTATGTGATTTCAGACATAGTCAATATCTCTAAGTCAGAGTTTCTCATTTGTAAAAGATATAATAATAGTGTCTTATGAGAGCGCTAAAAGAATCAAATGTGATAACACGTGCAAAGTGCTTAGCTCAATACCTGGCACATTATAAGTATAATATAATTATAATACATACATATAATTTGAATAAAACATAATATCATATATTTAGCAAGAAGACAAAAGACTTTACTGCCTAATGGTGAAATGTAGTCATCCGGCTGTAATCTTGGGTATGCCGTCTTTTTGAGGACAATTCAGATATTTTATGAGCAATATTTTTGTTGACATATTATGTAATGTGCTAGAAAGCAGAGAAGTTGGAGAGAGTTGAGCAAAACAGAGGATGAAATACGGAAGAATTTGCAGCAGAATAATATGACTAGGAATAAAAGGGGCGATGGGCGCCCCGGTGGCATCTTCTCGCTCGGGGTGAGGATCATTCTCCAAGGGGCAGGGGGTGTGCTATGAGACCTCTGTGAGACTCAGGATGACACTGTATGGACTGTGAACTCAACCGTAGTCATGCTCTGCATCCTTTGCATGCGGTACCGTCTAAAAAGCGTTTTCACATAGACGATCTCAAGTGGACCTCGCAACAGACTTGTCGGGCGAGCAGGCCGAGCGTCGAGGTCGCCTCTCCGCTGAGCACGACGCCAGAGAACCAGGCCCTTGCACAAGTTTAGGAAGCGGGAGCAAAGGGACCCCCTCTTCTGACGGCGAGCTCTCCGTCGCCCGCAGGTGTCCGCGCATCCCAGGGGCATCGGCTGACGGAGCGGGGAGAAGTGGGAGGGGCGCACACGCTCGCCTCGACCCCCACGGCCCGTTCTGTTGCTGCGGAGTCCCACGCCGTCGCCCAGACCGGGGGGCGGCGGGGCGCTGGCGCCGTCGCCCGGACCCCGGGCAGCCTGGGC